TAATCAATATTTAAGCATTTTACATTTATATGAAAAACGAATTAGAGATAAAGTCATATGATTCTAGTGCTGCTCATATTTTTCAGTAGAAGAATACGAAATATTTCAGATTGGTTAAAAGTCTTAAAATTCTTTTTACCTTTAGGTTTTATCAATAGTATGAATGAATGTCAAAATGAAAACATAGAAACTATTTCCTAAACATAAAGACAATTTTATTATTATTGATATGTATCATTATGACTATCACATTTTTGCTATAAAAAATTTTAAATTCAATTAGTCTCTATAATTCTAAATTTACTTATGGTATAGTGCAATCTTTATGACTATAAAACTATCATATTTTTTTTTGCAAATCCAATTATGAGAGGGCGAAACCCGCACTATAAATTAGTAAAATCTGCTACGTAGATCACATGAGGGTGAAATTCACTTTTGCATAAAGCTAAACCTGGATTTCGCCCTAACGTGATTTATTTAGCAGATCTTACTAATTTACAACGCGGGTTTCATCCAGTCTTAATTATTAAGCTTTCATCGCAATGTACAACCGAAATGACCCGCTTGTGAATGAAGTCACAAGGCAGACATTATTGTGAGTCACTGGATTCCACGTGATGATAGATCACAGACGCCATATTGTCCAAAATTGAATATTTGAATAACTAGATGATCTACTGTGACCATTGTTCTTGAATTTTTCTGCTTGACATTGTGTCCAGCACTCGTCGCAAACAAGTCAGTTTTTCGTTCTATTGACAGGAGGAAAGCAAGATGAGTCTGAGTGAAGAAACACAAAACCTACCCGAAGGTAATGAAGAAGGAGTACAGTCGCAAGAAAACTCCACTATAGAATGTAACCGTTTACGTTTAACAGACTTGAGAGTCATGTGTAATAAGTGTAACATCCTGATGGATAGTAATAAAGCAGAACTAATAGCTCGTTTGGAGGATCTCTGGTCAGAACCAGAAAAGGATTTCAACCTGCAAAAACCGGCTAAGGGTAAATCTGTAGAATGGAACCCAGCTGAAGACTACGACGAAGAAAGACCTCGTCCATCAGATGAGGTAATCGAACAAAGCTATGACTTTTTGACTCATATGGAAAATAGATTGGAGCAAAAGCTCGAAGAAAAATTGGGGAATTCGTTGTCGAGGGTCTTGGATAATAGCTTGCAACAATGGTCGGCTCAACTAAATAACGCTAGTTGGATCGGTGCTGCGGAATCTAACTTTTTAAAAAAGAGTTTCAAGAAGCCACGAAACCAATATGAGTATGATCCGGTTTGTGAAGCCAGAACTATGCTTCAAAAAGCTATTCAGAAGGATTC